GGGAAAGCTGAGGGCTGGGCCTTTTTATTTGCTAACTCTCTGCTGAGCAGGAGGTAGCGCTATGTTGTCTGTGAGCCCAAGTTGCCATCTCCATTCTCCCTCAGGCTACTAGGCTTTAGTGGTACCATCTAAGTTCCAAGTACTGAGGTCAATCCTCTGGGAAAGGCTTTTGGAATAGTTGGAGCACTAGATAGACAATTCAACCCCTTCATTCCCCTGGAAGAGCTGGGAGCCAGGAGATCTCTTTCTGACTATATGGCATTGCATCAGGGGAAGGGACTCCAGGAAGAGAAGGTCCTGAATTTTCTTATTGACTTCAATAAATCTGTTTTTATGGTCACCTAGTGTTCAACCTTTTGCTCAGTTTCTAGATTTCTCATAAAGAAAGTTTGTTCGTGAATTGTTGTTTAATTGGAGTGTTTGTGGGCAGAAGGATCGTCTAGAGCCTCTTCTTCCAATATTTTGCTGATGTAACATTCCAAGGTATTGGAGATTAGTACTTTAACATATGAATTTAAGAGTGGGACACAATTCATTCCATAATACTTGCCTATATTTCCATATCATATCAGTTAAATATACTCCATTCTCTTTTCCCTGGCTTACAGCTCTCTATAGAATCTGACCTAAAGAACTTCCTTTGATCTTACTGCAAACCATGTTCCCCATAACTCTTTATATAGTATATACATGCCAGCCTTTTTTCTCCAGCATGCCAAGTTTGTGCTCACTGTAGGACCTTTGTATTGTCCATTACTTTTGTCTGAAATTCTCTTATTCTAGGTCTTATCATGACTTTGCCTTCTTGTCATGCAGGACTCATGATATTTATTTATTTAATTAGTTAGTGTATTAATGTTTAATAATAATAATGGATATCACTTGAGAGCTTACTTTGCATGAGGCATTGTGCTAAATAAACACTTATATGCCCTATTTGATAGAAAGAGTATGCACAGTGGTTGAAAATACATAATTTGGAGCTAGACTGCCTAAATTCACATCCAGGCTTTATCCCACATTTTGGAACCTTGAGAAAGTTATTTAGCTTTTCTCTGCCTTAATCCCATCCCTCCTAAAGCTATTATTTATTTTTATTCCAAACAATCTAAAAACTACAGAAAAGTTACAGAAACGGTATAAATAGTCTCCATGTATCCTTGTTCAGATACCCCATTCATGTTCATTAATTTGGCCAGTAACACTTTTTATATAGCAAAGGATTTGATTTGGGATCATGCAGTTCACCAAGTTGCCATGTCATTCTCTAGCTCTTTGAATATGAAATAATTCTTCAATCTTTCCATAACTTTCATGACCTTGATGTTTTAAATGATTTATGCCAGTTATTTTGTAGAATGTCCTTAATTTAGGTTTGTTTGGTACTAGGTCCTGTACGGGATTTGACTCAGTTTAAATGTTACCTTCTTAGAGTTCCACTTAATGTGAGGGAGTTCCCTCAATTACTTTGTAGCACAGGATCTTTTTTTTTTTTTCTTCCTGGTGTTTTTGCATATTTATTTGTGTATTTGTTTGTTTGCTGTTATAAGTTGGTGGAGTATAATTTCTGTATGAATAGCCTAAACTTTATTTTTCTTTTATGATGCTGTATCCCAGCAAATACGGTGATTATAATCTGCCAGTCACTGTGCCAGGCAGTAGCAATGTAATGGTGAATGCAAACAGATGTTCTTTGTTATTATTAAAAAATACATTAGATATTGCATCCAGATAACTTGCTATTTAGTTGTTCATTCAATAAATATTTACCGAACACCTACAACGGCAGTGAACAACACAGAAAATGCTCCTAATCTCCTGAAGTTTACATTCTAGAAAGAAAACGGGCAATAAAACAAACAAATAAATATGTAATACGATGAGTGGAGAGGATGGACCATCTAGCTCTGCAGATGAAGAAAATTCCAGAGGGGAAAGAGGAAATGGGAAGGCCCTGAGTTGAGAACACACTTGGCAAGTCCCAGGACCAGCAAAGAGTCCACTGTGGCTGGAGCAGCACGAGTGAGAGAGAAAGTCGGAGGAAATGAGATCAGTGAGGCAGCCAAGGGTCCATCTTGTGTGGGTTTGGATTTCATTCTAATTATGATGGGAATCCATTAGAGGGTTCAAAGTGTGGGAGTGACATAATCTTTTACTGCACAGAGAATTGCTTTATGAACTATTTCCTTCTCAGAAAGCTCCTTAGGGGATTGGCTAAGAGTCAGTGACTTTCAAGAAACTTGACATTTCTGGCTGATACTTATACATCAGGCCCTGTATCGGTAGCTAGAAATCCTGGAATGTGTTTTCAGATTTGCACATTCCTTATTGAGGGGCCTTGGCGAGGCCAATCTTTTTGGCTTAACAATAGCTCTTCATACTCAGGTATTCAAGAAAGAATGAAGAGTGAAGAGGAAAGAGCAGGGCACTTACGGGAATGCTGAAACCACAAGTATGAATATGGTATAAATAAATTAGTATGCAGAAAGAGTTTGGGTCCTTTCCATAATGAAAAAAGAGTTCTCCCTTGGAATATTTTCTGAAGGTTTAATGATTAATGTAGGCAAAATTACAGGTCAGTATGATTCTCTAAAGCAAAATAACCCCTCAGCTTTGTTTTACCCATAGGCACTTCAGTGACCTCAGGGTAGCTTATTTAAAAAATTTTTGACTTCCTCACATAGTTGGCCTATGAATGAAGCATTTTTCTGAATTAATCATGGTGTTAATGAGTAAAGGAATTCCTGAGAAGGTCATGGAAGGACACGTTCATGCTTGAGTGTAAATGGAGAAAGGAACTGGAAGAGAATTCTAGGAGAAATGGTGTATTTCAAGCCTGGTTTCTGGAAAGATTGTGTGTGGATTTTGTATTCTTATTTTTCCCCCCTCTTTAATTCCCCCTCTCCCCACTTCCACCCCTGATAGATGTTGCTGTTTCCCCTTAAGAACCAGATCTCTGAAGGTGGGGTGTCTCCTCCAACACACTCGTCATCTGAGGCCTGGCGCCCCGGGCCTAGGCGCCACCCCTCCCCTCGACGCACTCGGGGGTGGGGGGCCTGATGAACTTGGAGGGGGGGCTGGCGCACACAGTGAATGAACCCAGGACCTTCTGTGTGTAAAGCAGACATGCTAACCACTACACTATGGAGCCACCCCCGGATTTTGTATTCTTAAAGACATGTACTTTTATTTGATATGGATTGAAATTGGGGTGATCTATTCATATGAGACGGCAGTGAGAAAAATGCAGCCAGGTCTTCTTGTTTCAGGAACTATGGTTTCTGTGTTAAGCCACAGGTTTCCTGGAACATCTCAGTTTCTTTTGCCTTCCTACGTTAAGAGAGCATTAAGTCTTCCAAGTGCTCAAGGAAAATCTAAATAGGACTCTCGGTGGTTTAAAAAATAATTCAAACCAGACTCTGAGTTCTTTTCTCTTTTCCCTGAGCTTATTTGGGATACATTTTGTTGCTTCTTATAAAGGTGCGAAATGGAAGTTTGGAATTTTCTGATCAATGACCTTTTACAATGACTTCCCGTTATTTCATTTTCCCTTGGAAACCAGAGTAGCCACACAATATGCTCCCACTGTGTGAGGCTGAATAAACCTTTCTAAGTTAGAATTAGTCACTTGTGGGATCCTAATTAGCATTATGAGTAAAATGTCTGTTTATTTCTGACCAGTCATGGGGCATGCTTGTATTAAATTCATTGTAACATTTTGTTGACTCCTTCGATTTGAGAATCTGGTATCTGATATAAGCAGCAGAAAACGTCCTCTCCCTATTCTAGTTCTTTTTTTTTTTTTTTTTTTTTTTTAAATTTGTGTTGGTGGCCTCCAATCATTTCCCTACCTCTTAATCACTGTTACCTCAGAGCCTAATCATGCTTGGCAGCTAATGTGTACCTTGTGAACTGACCAAACAAAGGACTGATTCAAAGAGAACTCATGAAAAAGCAGGTTGGCATTTAAACTTTAAACTTAAAAAGCAAACAACCAGGCAAATATTCAGCACAAGAATAGAGTATCCAATGGTCCTGGGTTGGTGATTACAAAGCTCTCTTTTGTATTCTTTATTCTCGTGTTGAGTATTGTAGACTTTACGTGGGCACACATCCTGATTTAGAGAGAGAAAATAAGATTGACCTCTGAGAAATTGACTCATAAAATCTATAGGAATGGATCAAGAGTATAGTCATGTTTAAGTGAAGAATTTCAGAAATATCTAAAATGCAATTAAAATGTGATCTTGGGAGTAGAACTGAATTGTAATAACAGCCTAGTAACTAGATATCTAGTCAATTCTCATGTCTCTTTGTCTGAGGATAGACTGTGATCACAGAGGGGATATGGACTGAATAGAGTTTAGAGAAGGCAACCTGGAAGACAAAGAATTTGGTGGCATGTCACAGCAGTATTCAGGGAGAGGATCTGCCACCACTGAGGGCTTAGTTTGCAGGATTTGGCTCTTGGCTCCCTGGGATGGTTCTAGACTCATCAGCCTATCAAATCTTGGCAAAGCATTCACTGATGCCTTTAATGAATTCCCCGCCCCCCACCCCGCCCCAAGAAACCGACTGAGTGTGCTCAAGTTTCTGTGCTGTTTTCTTATAGGAAGAGGATTTTCTAATCAGCCACTATCTTGTGCTGGATGGCTTGATAGGTGGATATCTCATGATAAACTAGGAAATTGACATTCTGGCTTCTGTGAGATCATTTAAGGTGAATCCATCCTAAGAAACAGATCCCTTTAGAAAGGGCTGGCCAAGCTGAGCTTTGGGGGCTGCCAAGCCGAGGACCTGACCCTGGACCCCACCCAGAAGCTGGCCTCTTTTTCTTCTTGCTGTAATTGCTGCAAGTATTAAAGGAGTATATGAACACTGCAGTGAGGCCTAACAAGAATTCACGGGCATCTCTAGATTAGAAAACTGCATTTTTAATTATTGTATCATTTTGCTTCAGTCTTATGAGACTTAACAATAGATTTTGGTGATCTATCCATTTTTTGTGGACACCATATTGCTACTTCATAATGACAATTCCAAGCCATACTTTATTTTTGAGCTGGAATTAATACTACAAGTAGATATTATTATTTCAAAATATCCTGCAAAGGAAGAAGAGGGATTATTCTCATACCAAATGCTTTTCATCCCGGTGGGAATATGCAAAAGGTTTTTATGAGCCAAGCTTCATAAGCACACAGGGTATGAAGCACAGACCATTGCTTTCAAATGAAAGCATAAGAATGTTGGTCTTGGGAATGCTGGAACTGGACTAGAGGACAAGGGCCAAGGCTCTGCTCCTGTAAAAAGGGTCATAAAACCCATAAGTGAGCAACCTCAACTCTCCAAAAATAAGAAAAATGGTTTTTCAAAATGAGACATGCTAAAGAGCACCACCAGAACTTTCTCTTCATGCTAAAGAGCACCACCAGAACTTTCTAATTGTTTAGAATGAAGACCTCATGCACTTACACACCCACAGTCATGAGGAAGAAACCCTACAGCATCTTTTTTCTTGCTACTGCTACCAATCTTTGAGAAAAATGAATGGAATAGTTATAATGTCATAAAAAAAATCCATACAGTATACAGTGATAATGGGAGAATACAAAATAAACACAATGATAGTGGGAGAATACATAAAATAAAGAGAATATAATCTTTTCTCTAAAACACATAATTGGGCTTTCAGTACCTACCCCACTGGCAAATATATTACGTAACTAGATTCTGGAAACCAAATCTTATATTTTTGTTTCTAAAATCTAGTTACCCGACATATTTGTGTATATATTGTAAAATTCCCCATAAAGACAGATTTTTATCTTGTTTTGTAAACTGCTGTGTCTCTAGCACCTAGTATAGTGCCTTGAATATGGTAGGCACTCACTGTATTTGTTAAATGAATTATTGGGTGTATCTTGTAGAGGGAAACATGATCATGATGAAAAAATAAACCTCTTATCTACGGCTGCTTTCTGATTCAAGTCCAAATATAAGCCTGATTTGCTTGATGACCTAAAGAAAATGCCATGTTTTATGTAAGGTATCTGATGGTTCTATTCATGCTCTTTCCTCTCCTCTGAGCACAAGGGATCTCTCTTTTCCCTGCCAGGGTCCATATACTGCTATTGAAATCTAGCCCAATAAGACTCCCTCGTGAGTTTTCATTATTAATCAGATATGAATCCTCATCCTGCTCACTGTGTGCATTCACTATGAGTGATAATAATTGATATGATGGCAACATTAGGAAAACTTCATCTAAATTTATTAAAACTTTCATTCTGCCCTTTCCTTCAATTGTTATTTCTTATAATATCCCACTCTTCATTGCCTCTCATTCCTAGCCTGATCTTTCCTTGGGTCTAAGATTTATTATTGATACTCTCTAACCCCTCCCTGCCCTCAACTTTCCACTGTTAAACATCTGTTCTATGACAGTTTCTTAAGATAAGTTGGAAAACTGATGCATAATCATAGTATATAACTCAAGAGATAGTTGATGCAAGTGAACAGAATACTGATCTGATCATCATGACACCTCATTTCTAGAAAGAGCTCTGACACTAACCAGTTTTGTAAACTTGGGCTACTCAATCTTTCTGAGCTTCTTCTCTCATGTATAAAATATGGGGGTTGTTTGAGACTTTCTATATGTAAGTGTTGTAATACTGGTCCAAGGATATATCTTTCAAATGTATATTGTGGGATCACATTTGTTTGGGAATTACTATGTACTTTGTCAACTTCTCAAATATTAGCAAGTTAAGGTTCTGATAATCCTCAACTAAGAAACTATTTTTCTTTACCTGATAGTTTACTTCTTTTTTTTTTTATGGAGGAGGGGTAACATGTTGGTAGTTTTCTGGAACTCCATGAAGAAATCCCGAGTTGGACTTTCTGGGAATCTTTGCTGTAATTGCACATCCCTTCATCTCCAGTGCCAGCTCCTGTGGGTATAGAGATAAGTAGGTCAGGATCTTGGTCTTTCAAGCATAAAAAATCAAATAGGGCAGAGACAAAAATCAATGTTATAAAGGATGGCAATTTTAGACTAAAGTCTTTTTCAAATTATAATGGACATCAGGATTGAGAAGCAAGTACATCTACCCAGACTAGAGGCAGTGGATGAGGAAGGGGGAGGTCGAACGGGGGAAGTGCCATTTGAGCTGAGCACCAAGGGATGTTTAAAATAATTCACTAAGTAGGTAAGGTGGAAAAAAGATATTCCAGGCAGAAGGAATGACACGGCATAGAGGCATAAAATACGAAAGTACATTCTAGTCCTGCAAAATACTTTTGTGGTTATGGAGCCAAAGAGTAGAGGCTGCCCAGGGAGAAAGGAGCTGGATAAAGTTCTGGGAGATGGGTGGCGATCTTGTCATGTGCTTTAAGTGTCATTCTGAGGAGTCTGAAATTTATTAAGTAGGCAACACAAAAGCATCTTTACCTTGGTATATAATCAGGGAAATTACATGATCAATCAGTATTTTACAAAGAGAATTATGGAAATAAAAAGAGAGAAAATTCTAGAGTAGTGAGAGGAAATTCTAGAGTACTAAGTCAAATAAAAAGTGAAAAGAAACTGGCAGGGAAACTAATTATGACACTATTGAAATGGCTCACGTAAGAGGTGATAAAAGGCTGAATAATGACAGTGGAAGAAAAATGAGATAGAGGAAACAGATTCGAAGGAAATTTAAAAGCTCAACAGACACTGGGATATGATTGGATATGAGACAAGAAAGAAGGTGGAATACAAAATGACTCTACAGTATTTAGCTTGGGCAAATATGTACTTATCACACTTACTGGGATAGAAGTTTAAAAGAGTGAATTGTTTCATATAAATTTTGAATTGGACTGGGGAGTCTATTACGTAGAGTAATTTTCCTGTAAAAACATATCCATTGATTTTTGTGTTTCAGATCTCAATAATGATTTAACTAAAGACCTTATTCTTTTTAAGGAGATTCAATGTCTACAAAAAAAAAAAAAAAATCTATCCCAAATTGAAATTCAGTAGGTACTCAATATATACTTGTCAACAAAACAGTATTTTAATCTATATGTTTCTTTTGATTTTACCTGTAAATGGTAAATAATCATTTCTAGGCCTATAAATCTATCAGTTTTTCATTTAGTCAAAACCTTTCTCTTCTTTTAGCTATGAATAATCCTATATATACTGATATCTCGGTAGATATTTATAAAATGATTTCCATTTCTAGGAGGAAACAGCACAGACACCAACAATTTTAATGATTATTTATACATTAAGCAATTATTTTTTTCAATTAATCCTAAATTCGCCTTAACATTAAATGTTATTACTTCTAATACATTAAAAACATAGTATGTTTATAGTCAAGGAGTGGGACTGTTTCAAAAGCATCTTCGTATGTCAGTAACAATTAGAAAAATATTTCTTTATTCAATTTTTTTAGAAGTCCATGCTTGCTTATTGTATAGAAATTAAAGACTTTAAAGAATTACTTTTTTCCAAAAGTTTTCAAAGTATTGAGTGCTTTTATTTCAGGGGGAAAAAACTTCCTTTTAGAGGCAGGATGTGGAGACTAGCATGACCCAAATTGTTTACACAATAGCAGTCCACACCTCCCTAATTAGGTCAAAGAATTTTGCCTTTACCTGAATCAGCTGCCTTCTATTAGCACTAGAAACAAACTGTACAATCTTTGGTCACTGAACTATGACCACCTTCTCATTCTGAATTTTTTATCCAAGAAACCAGGACTCCAGAAACTGAGTTGGTGGTGAGGAGCTTTGCTAGACATAACTTATCAAAGAAAGGGAAGTATAGCATCCGCCTTAAAAACAAACTGAACTATCAAAATGACTACCCATTATAAAATGAACATAATAAGGGCAGTCGGAGAACGACTTCTGAGAATTATTTTCTTTCACATCGTGAAGAAATAAAGATAAAAACTGAATGGGCTTATGATAAGCAGGGCAGCCTCTCCCTCCCCAATTCCCCCAACTGTGCAGCATTTAAGGCAGCTCCATGAAATTGTTTTGAAATAAATCTAGAAGCTTTGGAAGGCAGGTACATGTAAAGGTTATTCTCACTCTTCTGGGGTTAAAGATAGAAGGTTGCTGTGTCTAAGCCTTCAGGGTTGGCATATTTCTAAATGCATTTTATGGTATCTGAAATTTTGCATGAGAAAATGCAATGCAAAAAATGATTTGAGACACAATGTCCCTTTATCTCAGAGCAAAACAGTCTTATTTCTGAATAGTCAAAATAGAAGGCAGGCAAGTCAGGTCGTGGTTTCTGAAACCTAACAAGTTAGTATCGCTGTGCCACTCTCTCCACGGTTCAGCGCCACTCCCTTAACTTGATATCTGTTTACTTTAGAGGAAGCAGTTTTTGAGAAAGGAATCATAAATATCCTGGCCCAGTGCCCCAGAAGCCATGACAAGCAAAAGAACATACTTACCTAAAGATAGCCTTTGTGATATTTAAATGTGTGGGTTAATTTTTTATCCACTTTAATAACTAGATTACCTTTCCACCCGATCCCACTTCTTTGCTTTTTATTTCTGCTCTGAAACCGTGGGCACGGAAATCTCTGCAGACACATTACTCCAGAGCATATTGCAGGACAGTCTTATAACGAACAGTTAAATTCACGGCATCTGGATTCCTGATCCTTTTCCGACATGGCAGGTGTGAGTGGCTGTGTAAAATATTCTATGTTTATCTTCAATTTCTTGTTCTGGGTAAGTGTTTTTCTTTTAATTATCAATTTTATGCAAGAAAGGGGATCTTGATATAAATATCATAAATGAGAACAGACTCTGCACTAAAGAAATAGGAGGAGGAAGAAAATGTATTTTTCCATTTACTTGTTTGGTTTGTTTGTTCTTTCTTTGGTTATTTCAGTAATTGAAAATGAGCCAATGACTCAAAAAAGTGCACTTCAGGATCTGTGAGGATAAACATTTCATAAATGTTTTGATATTGTTACCAAACAATAACAGAGGGAAAAAACCCTTAATTAAAGGACAGTTATTCTTAGTTGTATATCATGCAGGCCTCCCTAGTTTAAGGACCCTGTGGGAACAATCTGATCTGATTCCATTCGGATGGAACCCAAGCCCCTGAATCTTTACATCTATCTGGGTTTGAAACAAGTGGATGATGGGATGTTGGAGGATAACGACACGAGAAGAGGATTATTTTCAGAGACCCAAAGAAGAAACAATGGGTCATAAAAATCTTGAGAGGGAAACAGCAAAATTATTTAATCATGAAAAGATTAAACTAAGCTACTAGGTTCATATCGGCAATTTGAAATTAGGATTTTGATGTGTCATCACTCTACCTTTTAATAGACAGGTTTGTATTTTAGCAAGTTCTTATGTGTCCCTTAAAAATTTGTTGACATAAGACATAGCAAACTAATTGATAACTAGATTCTAACATTGGAAAATGGAAAAATTAGATATGGAAAGGGAATAAAGTAAAGGACAGGCCAAGATATTGGAAAACTGATGTTATCATTTTTAGAATAAATGGCACAATTATAGATTGTTCAAAAGTAAATTATTAGAAATAGCTCAAAGTGCTCAAATAAAAAATTTATTTTGTATACTGTTTTAAAAGTTGGCTTATGTCATATAAGCAGGAGAGAGTTCTGGTTTTGTTTTTTTACCTGGTTACCTTTAGCAAATAGGCAATTGGTACCTAAATGTTGGTAAATTTCTGTTGTATTAAAATAATAACATACACAAATACGGTCTTATTGTGTAGAATGACTTTCCTTTCAATGTCAATAGCCCTAATGAGTACAGGTGATATTTGGTGAAGTAAGTGAACATATGAATAAATAAAATAAAATAAAGAAGTTTTGTCCTTTGCACTTTCTTTTTTTCCTAGAAAAAAATGGTGTGCCTTTGCAAATATTAAATGAAGATCATGAATATATACCAGCTTTTTAAGTTAGTCCTGATAAATTTCTTCCCTTGAAGATTCAAAATCGGTTAAACATTGAAAGTAGAATATAAACAAAAAAATGCCTGTATACTTTGGATGGTTTTGTTTTTAGCTTTTTACTATGGAGAACTTTAAACATTCACAAAATAGGACAGGGTAGTGAATCCCATCATCCAGCCCCAACAGCTATAAACCATGGCCGATCTTTCCTTGTCCAGACTCTCATCCACCTTCCCCACCCCATGTTATTTTGAAAGAAATCCTGGATATATCATTTCATCTGTAAATATTTTAGTATATATCTCTAAATGTTACCACAAAGTCATTATCTCACTAAAAACTTAATAAGAATTTCTTAATCAATTATCGAATATTCATCCAGGGTTTAAATTTCCAATTGCCTCATAAACGTTCCTGTTTGAATCAGAATCCAAATGAGACCCACACATTGTGCTTAGTTGATAAATCTTTTATGTCAATTTTCATCTTTAGGTTATCTCTCCATCTTTATCTTTTTATTTTCATCCATGAAATTTTAGGTACTGGCGTGTCGTTTTATGACAATTCCCACTCTCTGGATTTTGCTATTTGCATACCCACAGTGTAGTTTAAGATGTTCCTCCATCCTTTGTATTTTCTCTACTTTAGTATTCAAATCTGGCAGCTTGATAAGATTCAGGTTATTACTTTTGGCACATACAATTACTTTAGGAGTGATACTGAATTCTTTCATCAGGAGGCTCATAATGAATGTCTGACCATGTCACTTTTTATGACGGTAGTAACCAATGATGCTCAAGAACCTAGATCTTTTGTTTATTAAGCAGTTCAAATCGGTGATATTACATTTCTATTATTTTTCTTTTATTCATTAGCTAGAATGATATCAATGAGAAATTTATCGCTTATTGATTGGTTACCGGTGGTACCCAGTTTTTATTTTTAAAAGTAAGCAAAAATGTTTTTTACTCTTTACCTAAGAGATTTCAAAATTATGAGTTAATTTTCTGATATGTAACAGCGATAAGCAAGTATTCTTTAAGTATCCTATGAAATAATAAATTTAAGTGCCATCATAGTTCTCATCCTCATTTATGTGTAATTTATTCCATTTTTGGCCAGTGGGAACATCTTTAAGTTGGTTCCTGAGTTCTTTTGACATGATCCTAAGAATTTTGATAACTTCTTTACTATTTGGTAGGACAAGATGTTCCAGGCTCACTTTCTTATTTCCTTCCCCAGACCTGGAATAAGCTATTTTGCCAAGAAGTCCTGATACCTGTTTTTTGTTTTTTTTTTAATTGTAATCATTGTCTTTTTATGATACAGAATATATATGGCCCATTTAAACAAACCAGAATATAAATATGAATAAATGCATGGCTCCCATGTTTAAAACATGTCCTAAGTACCAAAATCAGTAACAATCCTCATTACGAAATTATGAAACAGTTAAAATATTTCTCTGTTGTAAAAATACAGCATAAAATGCAAATACATCTGAGGTCAGTGTTTCATTAAATAGCTGACCAGGAATTTGGAATAGATCTACATTTTAAATGAAATGGTAAGACAGTCTAAAAAAGGAAAATGTTATGGGTTCAGGATTATATTTAAGATTAGAGCTCAAGGTAAGTTGTAGAGATCTGTACTATGCTGTACCTTGACACTGTTATTACTTTCCTGGAGAGTTCTGGTTATTTTTTGGTTATCATCATTTCTTTGTTTTTCTGATAATGAAGGTAAATTTTTCTGATGGTATAGATTTCAGTTAGATATTTCTAACTTCCCTGGGGGCAAAGGACTTGTTCTTACCATCAGCATAGTGTTAGGATCTACAATCTCTATATGAGCATCTTGAAGTGGAGTCTTTGGATGAGAGCAACAGTCTTAAAGACCGATGATAACTTCTCAGCCAACAGGTGACATCTTTTCATTCAAAATCTAGACAGCAGGAGGAGTCTCTGAGGTTAGGGAACCATTCTTATTTCTACTCTCTCTTTACCCCCCAACTCAGAGTTCTCAGCTGGAATTTTACAAGCTTTCATAGGAAATTAGTAATTTGTCACATTCCTAATGTTTACTTAAGCAAAATTTTAACAGTCTCACTGATGTGGTTTTCTTGTAGATACTCATAGCCTTATGTTTTCAAATGCATTCTTTCTGGTGTAATTTAAAAGCTAAGCCTTTGCAAAGTAGGGACAGATGTTGAAATATCTCTAAAATATGCCTATGGTCATTTAAGCTAAACATACCAGTTTCTTTTGTGAGAGAACTTGAGATTCACCACATAAATATGCAGTGATTTCCATTTGTTAGAATGAATAGTTGAAGAAAAACATGTAAAAGTGAAAATCACTTCTAATCACTCATGCTAGAGTGTGATGCGAGTGAATTGGAGGTGCTGTAGATGGTAGATAAATTATAGGTACAGTGCCTATTTCTCTGAGTCTGTGTCAAAACAGATGAGCTGCCCACATTTTCCTATGTTCCTCTCAGATAGGTCAGGCTTGGGAGTACGGTTGATGCTTGGGGCGTCTTAGGAGTCTGGGTAAGCATGGAGCAAAAGGCCTTTGGCCAGTGATTTGGTGAAACCATTGCCAGAGGAAGAGAGCTGTAGAGAGGCCAGCTCTTTCTGAAGGAAAACAGAGTGAAGGAACATTACCAATCGCAAATGAGGTGAGGTGACCAGGAACTAAGGTGTAAAGTCGAATGTATCAGCAAGTGAAAGAAGCCAATGCGCCAAGCCATTTGAAGAGAGCAGAAGGAAATTAGAATTTGGAGAATATCCAGGAACCAGCATTTTGATGTTCATCATTATGTTTTATGTGGTGCCTGGGTTTCTAGATTAGATGTTCTGAGAGCGATTAGAAGAGTTGAGGCAGAGCAGACGTAATTGTGAGATAGGGGTACATTAAAAAATACGGCACAATTATATTTCATTCTGTCAGTTGATAAAATCCCTCAAGATAAAGTCTTGACTGTGGCTGATATGTGTGAACATTGTAAATATAGCAGTTGCCTGCCACTATGCAATCAACACGGAACGATAACAAAGGTGAAAGGCATTGGAGGCCAGTGGCTGAGAGCTCAGGCTGAACCTCAGCTCCTATATCACTAGCTGTATGACCTTGGGGAAATCGGTTAACCTGTCTGCTTTAGTGTTCCTTATCTGTAAAACTGGAGATAGTAGCGGTATCTACCCAAGGAGTTGTCCTTTTTTAAATTACATTTATTGGGGTGACATTGGTTAAAGTCATATACATTTTAAGTGTATAATTCAGTAATATGTCAAATATGTATTGCATTGTGCATTTACCACCCAAAGTTAAATTTTTCTCCATCATCATATAATTAAACTCCTCTATCCCTACCTATCTCCTTTCCCTCTGGTAACCGCTAAACTGTTGTCTGTGTCCATGAGTCTCTGCTTGTTTGTCATGTTTGTTTGTTGCTTTCAGTTTTATATCCCACATATGAGTAAAATCATATGGTTATTCTGATGATTAAATGATTTAATTTGTATAAAGAACTCAAAATAGAGTTAAATAAATGTTTAAGAAGTGGATATTTCAGCCAGCATTATATGGGCATTTTTATGAGACAAAAATATGAAACCACTGTGCATAGCAATGAATAAATTCCATTGTTGAATATTGCAACAGAAGAGGAAATAAGATTGCAATAATTATGATAAGGCAGAAATTCTTTTATTATAAATTAAGGGAATGGAAAGAAATTATATTTTTTAAACAAGCAGATTCAAATCTTGAATTCACTCCGCATTGCTTTGTGGCCTGGAACATGTTCCTTGACTTTTCAGAGCCCTAGTCTCTGCGTTTGTGAAGTGGGGATGATAATTTTACCTCACAGGATTAATTATGAAGATTCACTTTATGAAATCCTATAACCAAGGGTTTACATACAATCATAGTTCAATTAATGCTATTTTTCCCAATTCCAACCACTGTTTTTTTTTTGTTTGTTTGTTTTTTTGTTTTTACTTTAAAAGTGTTGATATTTGGTGTGATAATATTCTGTACATAATATGATTTTAAAATTTAAATATAATTTTAGCCATACTCTGACTCTCCTCTGGCCTCATGGAGCAAGAAATCTGTGGGGCTAGAGGAATATGCTCACCCTGAACCCGCCTCCACTTCGGATACCTGGGACCACAAAATTCCTTGCCCAAATGACCCCAAACCTGTTCCTGTGGTCTGCACAGGACCTTTTCCAGGAATGACCTAGGGGGAGCTCTTTGCCAGGAATGGGAGCATGTTGTGCACAGAGCTGGTTTGCAGGCTGCGGTATCCATCCACATTCTGTTATGTCCCTCAGAGTTCAAGACAGAGTTAGAAGTGAGGGATGAGGCCCGGGGTTGGCTCTCCCCAGGCTACCCGCTTCTGGTAGCAGACACTGAGAATTCTAAATCAAACCTTGTCTAATAGGTCATTAAGTGGGCACATTGGTCAAGATAGGAAGATAGAACATATTTTGTATAAGTTTATTACCTTGATTTATAACTTTTCAATGCAGAGATCCATGATCTTATTTATATCCTTGCCCCAGGCTCTGCAAATGTATATATAGTTCTGCAGGCGTTACTTTATGGAGGTAGTACTTTTAAAACAAAGTGATAAAACATTCCTTAATGTGCATCGTTTTATGATTCAGAAACATTAGGATGCAAACAAATGCTGAACATTCATCTCTCTTTACATAGTTTAAAGTTACGTGAATTTTAGTGATTTTATACTTTAGCACAGGAAAGAAAACCTGAAGCACATTCACCCAGCCAGGCCTTATTTGTGTCAGAAGGAAATGTGATCCATTTCTTTCCCTTAAATTCAGAGCTATTTAAGATTAGAATTAGCAGCAGTTGTGCTGGGTGCTTGGCTTACTTAATAGGTTTGGAAGATGTCTATGAATGCAGCCATAGGGACACTTTGCTGTGTACTTAACATGCATTAATATAATAAATATCATTTATTTGGGGAAGATAGAAAATCCAAAATATCATCATTTTGCGGAAATAGAAAACGATAATAGCAGAGCCAGCTAAGAATCGAAGTGTTTCATTTACTCCAGTGGTTGAAAGCATCAGACAATCAGATACTGTGTGAAGGCTGGGAAGCCATCTAAGTAAATCAGAGCCATATTAGGCCATGACTGTAGAGAGAATGCACAGCAACCTTCCCTCCAACAAGAGATCTGAGAATTAATACAATCACTGTTATTAGAGAGTGAGGCAAAGCACACACCCTACTTTCAACTAATAAGAAATCAGAATAAGTCTCATCTCAGTAAATGATGCATCAGGGGAAACCAGTCCTAATTTAAAAAACATTGTTGAATCCGTGAAACAGACTGTTACCCCGAAGCCTTAGGAGACAAGCACACACGCCTGAAAAAAACACTCCAGCATCCTGAGAAAAGCATCAGGAAATTGGTATCCACAATGCTAAGTCAGAAAACAACCCCTCATGAAATGGTGGCTGGAAGCCATGAGAGAAGATAAAGTTAACTTTAAAACCATAGAATGAGATGAAAAATGAAATGAATAAAATAAAGAAGTACTTCAAGTAAACCAGGAACACAATGATAGAATTAAAATCCACTCTAGAAATCATATTAAATGGAGGCAGTGATGTAGAATCTTAAAGTGAGACGTCGTCCCAGAGGAAAATCAAAAAAGAGATAAATGATGTGAAAGAAGATGATAGAGAGAATAGAAAATGGAAATCCAAAACGATTGGTAGTCCTGAAGAAGACAAAATAAATGGAACAAAAACAGTGATCCAATTAACATAGAAAATTCTCACAAACAATGATTTCACAGTCTGCATTATCTTACCGCAATGCAATTAAACTAGACTTTTAAATACATGTTTAATAAAAGAGGAAACTTGAAAATTAACAACAGTTGTACTGTTTGAAAATGTTAGGGCCATCAGGAGCCTTGCCTCCTGTATTCATGGCCTCTAGTGTTCTGGGGTTATAGTAAAAACAAATCTTGTAGTTATTGAAGTTATCCATTTGGATATTTTTTTATTCTTTTGTAACCCCCCAGGAGCAGTGTGGGAAGGTTTCCCTTAAATTTATCTAAAGAGCATCTATTTTGGACCAATAATGACGTAGCTCACAGTACACGCTTCCTCCTAGCATTGCACTAAGCACTTTCTTCCATTTTCAACACTCTTCAGAAACACTTTGATAAACACCAAAATCAAGAGGCAGAATAGAGAGAGAGGGAGTAGGGATGACTGGAGGATACTACATAAGAGAAGAAGACAAATCAGCTTGTTCTATACCATTTATTTGTGTCCTGGATGATGCTTTACCTCTTCTTCCTGCCTTGCGTTAGTCTGCTTGGGCTGCCATAACAAAATACCATAGACTTGGTGGCTTAAATAACAGAAATTAATTTTCTCACAGTTCTGGAGGCTGGAAGTCCAAGATCAAGATGACAGCTAATTTGGTTTCTGGTGAGGCCTCTCTTCCTGGCTTGAAAACAGCTGCCTTCCTGCTGTGTCCTCACATGGTTTTTCCTCCCTGCACGTGTCCATAGAAAAGGAAAGATCTCTCTCTTTTCCTCTCGTTGTAAGGTCACCAATCATATCAGCATAGGATCCCACCCTTATGAGCTCATTTAACTTTAATTACTTGTGAAAAGCCCCTACCTCAAAAGATAGTCACACTGGGAGTTAGGGCTTCAACATGTGAATTTAAGGGGGATATAATTCAGTCCATAGCACGCTCATAAGCAAATATCAAAATTACCTCTTTTCTTAGAACACAGGCTCTGACCAACTGCATCCTCGTTCCATAAAAAGAAAAATGTCCCACGAGAGCTGAGTGACAATGACTCACTGGGGAGTGGGGGTGGGGTGGAAGTAGGCCTAGTAGCTTCTGCAGTGTCCACTCACTGTGGGCTGATCTGGGGGCTCATCATATCAACACATTTCCTTTTATAACCTTATCAACAAAAAATAGGACAGAGCTAGATACTTATTTCTTAATTTTTACTCTCAATTATTTAAAACAATATAAAATGATTAGGGAACAAACCCTTAAAGCCAAACCGGAAAAGGGCTCAAAAAACCATTATGATGGCCAGACTTATAACAATTGGGATAAAATAGGTTAGTATCAGTCATGACCCTGCAATACTTGTTCCTGACAGAAAATCAATTTACTTTTAAAGTAAATCATTCAACAAATTTATGAATGATTTAATGTTATTAAGACTCTCTGATCTTCACATGTGAATTTCTTCAATAGGTGAGGATGATAAATTTTAAACATTTGTTTCTTTTTGTTTTTAAGATGAAGTTTGAAGGCACGATAGAGATAGGGATGGAAATGATAGTTTGGCTAACTTCAAAATCCCTAAGAAAATTGATCTAATTATGAATATTGAAGTTGGGCAAAATATTCTTGATCTCTGAAATAACTGAATACTCTTTCTTTTTCTTTCATAAAAGACTTTAAATATTTAGAGCTGTATTAGGTTCACAGCAAAATTGAGAGGAAGGTACAGAGATTTCCTATATATCCTTTGTCACCACATATGCATAGTTTCCCCCATTATCAATATGACTACCAGAGAGGTACACTTGTTATAATTGATGAATCTACGTTGATACATCATAATCACCCAAGGACCACAGTTTACATTATGGTTGATTCTTGGTGGTGTGATTTCTATAGATTTGGACAAATGTATAATTACATTGATGTGTATCATCACTATAGTATCATACAGAATATTTTCACAGCCCTAAAAATTCTCCATGCTCTGCCTATTCATTTCATACCCCTTCCATCAATCCCTGATCTTTTTATTGACTCCATAGTTTTGCATTTTGCAGAATGTCATATAGTTGGAATCAAACAGTATGTAGTAATTTCAGATTAGCTTCTTTAACTTAGCAATATGCATATAAGTTTCCTCATATCCTTTCATGGCTTGATAACTTATTTCTTTTTAGCCCTGAATACTATTATCTTGTCTGGATGTACCACAGTTTTTTTAATGCATCCACCTACTGAAGGACATCTAGGTTGCTTCCAAGTTTTAGCAATTATGAATAAAGCTGCTCTAAAAGTCTCTGTGCAGGTTTGCGTGTGGACGTAAGTTTTCAACTCTTCTGGGTAAACACCAAGGAGTGGTGTTGCTGGATCAAATGCTAAGAGTATGTTTAGTTTCTGAGAAACCGCCAAACTGTCATCCAAGGTGGCTGTATCATTTTGCGTCCTGCCAGCAATGAACGAGAGTTCTTGTTGCTCCACATCCTACCAGCATTTGGGGTTGTCAGTGTTCCAGATTTTGGCCATTCTAATAGGTGAATGGTGGTTTCTCATTGTTATTTTGATACTCCTTCTTTTAAGTGTTAATATTACAGATAACTTTCTGTGGTTGAGACTAAAAGCTATTCGAGGGGAAAATATGGTTGATTTAATAAGATTTCTGAATGATTGGATGTCTAAAAATATTGTGAAAGTGAACTAAAAAGTCATACAGAAACAAACAAAAAATAAGCGTTTAAACAATATCATACTCTTAGTCTTTAAGAGTTCTTAAGGATTTTTTTATAGTTTCATCAATAAGTATCAGATAAGGATAATAATTATAATATTTATTTAGATAATTAATTTTTTTCAGTTAAAGCTAAAAGTCGAAGTGACTATTCAGGTAATGTAAACCTTCTTGTGAAAGAAGAAAGAAAATATTAGTGAACCAATCAAATAAACAAAAAAATCCACCTGCTATTAAAATTACTGAAAATCCCAGAGTCTCATTATCATTTGACATAAATTCCTACAGACTTATTTATTAACAAAGAACTGTTAAAATGAGTATCTATATTCATCTGCAAATGAAATTAGAATGAGTTGAAACGGAGAGAAGAAATAAGGAGTTTTTCAGGCTCTAAAGCTATTATTTTCAATGGTTTGTATTTTACAGTATGTGCATGTGCTCACCTGTTAAGATAATTAAATTTGTATAGGTCAGTTTTAATAAAGAGCTTTGGTTTTCCATTGCGTTTTTGTAGGAGTAGAAGCATGTAGTAGAGGCAAGATAGGGTGGTGCTGGTTTTTCACAACATGACTGTTAGCTCTCAGGGAGTTTCTTTATCTGAAATGAAGGGTTTGAATCAGGATGATTTTTGAGATCTTTTAGGGAACACAGATTCTCTAGTTATTCAACTATTCATGGCACTCGCCATTCCCTAACAAAGCCGTTGACTCTACTTCTATGGCAAACTTAATGAGAAGCTATTAAAAGTGAAACTGTTGTTTTGGGATTCCAGACATATGACTCAAACAGGCATGAAAGCAATGATGCTACAAGGTCACTGGACTCAGGCATTTCTCTGTCAGGGCACCATAAACCAGAATAGTCTAGAAAGTCCTCCAAGGCCTGCTGGGCTAGGTATGTTACTGTGCTTATTCTCAACATCTCTATCTAATAATAGATCTTTGATTTTTTTTTTTTGAGGCCACAAAATATATATCTTTTTTAAGAAAAAAACAAAAACAAAAACTAAAAGACAAGGGTTTTCCTTACACAAAAGTAAAATGTGTTTCACATTTTATGTGTTGGCCTTGGTCCAAATTAAATAATCTGGTAAAGCCATTAAAGGAATTTAAGACTTTAAGTACTGTTCCTCATTGTTCTTCTTCTCTGGGTAAGCTTTACTACCTCAAAGAGTTTTAAAAGAGTTTATTTTGGTACAAAAAGTGTTATAAATCCATGTTGTTTAACTGCAAATTTTGTCAAATGTTCTGCATTTTCCCTGTCTATCCTAACTTTTTGCTTCTTGAATCTCGAAGGAATGTTTTGTAATTAGTCAGTTATTCACTTTCTTTTGGTCTAAGCAGCTCCTCAGAGACAAACTCTGGGGGCTAATAAGGATATTTTGTCTTTAAACTGTTGTGACTTACATTTTGTATAAGCAAAAAGACATTTATAACTGAAACGTGGAAAATCATCCTTCCCCTACCCCATAGTAGAGATGACCCCTTATCCTAGACCTATGAATGGACTGTAGATGGGAAACTTTCTTATCAAACCAATTACAAGGAAACATTTTAGCGATTATCTTCACCTGAATATGCCTCACTTATGTCTTTTAGGTCATAATGGTGTAATTAATGATTAACCATTGTAACCAGATAGCTAGAGGTATATGAAATTAGAGTTGCAGTTTATCTTAGTTGTACTCTAATACATATATTTTTTCTTCCTGCAGCTATGTGGTATCTCGATCCTGGCAGTAGCAATTTGGATACGAGTAAGCAAAGATGGTCAAGAGGTAAATAAATAAATATATGCTTCTCTGCTCCAAGAATAGTTTTATTCCTCTTATAATTATCAAAGCAATGACAACAAAAATAATATTTATATAGTATTTTCCTTAACTGCCTCATGTAATTATTTGCATTGATATGTGATTTTGTAACTTAATTCAATTTAATTAATCAAAACTACTCACTCTGTGCCTGGTACTGTGCTAGGCATGCGTCAGTCCTTCTGGAGAATGGAGAAAGTACTTCAAAAATAGGAAGATTGCAATGAAAGTGGAGGTGGGAAGGGTCCAAACTAGGAACTAGTGTTGTGGCCGCCAGCCCCCGATAGACACACGGACTACCAGAAACCAGTGAGTTATAGGAAGCACACTCTTTATTCAGCCAGCTGGGTCTGCCAGGGGTACGCAGACCCCAAATTAGGCAGCCCTGAAATGTAGAGGTACAGGGTTTTTAAGCCCTAAACCCCATTCCTCATTCTGTCTGAACACAAAAGTCTATTTTTCTTCTATTTACTAACTGTCAACCCACAGGTTAGTTGTGCAAGCGGGGGTACAGAAGCACAAAGCTTATTGTTAGAATGTTATGTTCCCATGGGTGATAACCTATGTTCCCATGGGCGATAGCCAAGCAGTAATTTTCCAGCCAGCACACTAGCTTCCATCCTTATTTGTTAAAGGCCAGCTTGAAGTGTGGGTGGTGGATATAGACCACCTTTCCACTCCACCAAGAACAATTTTGGTAGTCTAAGAAGTTATTGACAATAATTTGGCTGATTCCAAGACGAGGTGGTGGTTCAAAGGTGAAGAAGGTGAGAAGTTCACTTGGAGAAGAATTTGAATGTGCTTCAAAGGCAACAGAGTACAAAGATAGTTGGTAAATTACCTGTGTCAACTGAGAGTAACCCCTTATAACAGTAAGAGGCCGGTCACACTGGTATAACTCAGCAGTTGGCTGGGGATGTCCAGCTTCTTGCCCTCCAGATAGAATTAGCATGACTCTCTTCTCCCCACCACACACATGCCAGGCCCTGTGACAAAGCTCTTACCAAGATTTCTACAGGTCTGGAGAAAATTTAGTTCATACAGTTAATTCCGGCTCCAGTCTTTGTATTCCACATGCACTGCTTCTTTTCCATACAACGGTATTGCAAATGTAGAAAGAGCATGTGTGTGTGGGGAGGGAAACGGGCGAGGGTGTGGGAGGGTTGTTCCATTAGTTTTACCCAACATCATGCCTCTCACCATTTCCTGATTCCCCTGCTTCCACTCCTCTCTCTCCTTCTCAGCGGCACTCCAGCTTTCAAATTACTGTTCTTACCTCATGCAGGGCAGTTTTCTTGTTCTTTGTTGTCTACGCTCTTGCCACTACTCTGGATCACATCTTCTACTGGTAGGGCCTTTTCAAAGCAGTTTCTCAAAAAGTTTCTCTCTCTAAGAGGAATATGGATTTTTACTTGGTAATAATTTTTATTAAGCTGGCAGTTAAAGTAATATATTTTTTATGAAAACTTATTATACCATGGTTCAGCTAAATGCCTTTAGATATAACCTAGTTCAAAAAAAGATTAAAAGCACATTAACATTTGTTCTGATTCTTTTACTAAACTAGGTAGCTTTTCTTAACCTCATTCTTCCCTCCCTCTTTCCTCTCTCCCTTTCTTCCCTCCCTCTCATTTTTCCTCCCTCCTTCCTTCCTTCTTTTTCCTTTTTCCTGTCTTTTTTTTTTAATTTGCTTTCTATCATTAGAAAATCCAGAGAATTACTGTGGGAATTAACTGCTTCTTTGTTCTATGTCTCACCATGTCGAAGAAATCGAGTGAGAGACAGGTGTGGCAACTAGTTGATAACGTCTTAGTCCATTAGGAATTCATTTATTGTTTTATACTGATAAATGTAACTGTGACTTCCTCATGGCCTTAGGCTCTGGGATTTGAGCCTGTTAAGAGTGTTTGAAGATTTGCAGAATCTCTGTCATTTGGAAACTGACGTCTTGCTTTGGGACTCGGATTAAACACAGAGATTAACAGCCATCTATTTAAGGGTGCTTTGACCTTTTTAAGATGTGTGTGCAGCCTGATTTTATTTTATTTATTTGATTATTTTATTCTATTTTTATTTCTGGTTGATATGGGAACATTTTCTTTTCCCACAGTGCTTCTGGTAAACAAATTTGGTATTTAATCTGTTAAGAAATTACACAGATTGAATGAATTAAAGGAGAGCTGTTGTCCTTGAGAGGCTGTTACTTCACTTCTAGGGATAAGAATGAATTAATAGAGCTAGACGGCATCTTCGGTTACATTTTGACTCTTGTGCTCTGTCAGTCTGTAACCCTGAACGAAAGTCAGTATCTGCCAGGACAACATCAACCAGCTTAATTTATGTGGATTTGGCTCACTTTATGTTTATCTGTAGTCAGTGACAGAGAATCCAGACCTCAAAGAACTGAATTTTACTAGTGGAAAACAGAGGTAGCAATTTTAGAAGGTGAAACATGAAACACAGAAAAGAAGGGTGTTAGGGAGGTCTTTGTACATATCGTTTAGCGTATCTCTTTGTACTAAAGTGTCTCCTAGAGATGCTTTGTTCTCCCTCAGGATAAACTCAGCAATGTGAGGCAAAGCACATGGGCAGCTATCCTTGCCCCCTGGAGATCCCTTAGAATCTGAAGAGGACCTTGAGCCTTCTTCTTCCAGGTTCAACCATTCCTCTTCCTTTAGAAAGTCTCCCTTTGTTTTAAGACACCTTAGACACTGTTCGTCTGGGGAAATTTTAGCACTCTGCTGTCCCTTTCCTGGAGCAAACACCTGAACTAGATTTCTACTTCTTTCCTAAGAATAGCCACTTATTGGGCTGGACTTGGAACAGTGACCCGTAGGCGGCCAACACACTACTTTGTGGCCATCTTAGGCTGTGGGTCACCTGCCCAGATCAGTCTCATAAAAGTGTTTCATTACTTGACGAATAAGTGTTGGCTGCATCATCCAGGTCTCACTTGTAGATATTTGAAATATTTTTTCTCGATCTGGGCTATTTAAGCAAAGTTCTGATATTTCAGTGAGGCTTCAACTCTCTCAAATGCCTTAGGGTTTGCCTGCACCAGCCAAAACATTCTAGTAGAGCAGTTATTTGATGATGAGTGGGTAGAGACAGTTTCCCAATGCTGGTTTTTTTGTTTTTGTTTTTTGTCATTTTCTATTTTGACCCCGATGCCATACTTGTTTGTTAACAAAACTAATTTCTTAGCTCCATAAATGAACAAACAACAATCGAACACAAAATATAAAAAATGAACAAAAAGTCTTTAGGACATATTTAAATGGAAAGGTTTCTAAATATGTAAATTGAAACATTGTAAGCACAGACTCTTAGAGACAAAGGAGGCCTTAGATATCACAGAGGCTGACTCAGTTCTCTTTAAAAATGGGAAACTGGTCCTAAAAATTAGGACCCTGACTAGAATATATATCTTTGTTTTAATGCTTTGACAACTTCAGCACATTCCTTCCTACAGATTATTGAATAAAGGTTTCCTCTAAGCTATGAGTTGGTTTAAAAAGTCTTTTAAAATGTACAAATAATTCATAGTAGTGTTTGTTTTCTGTTTTTTTGCTTTTTGTTTTTAATTTACTGTTAAGGGAGCTGACCTACATGCTGTGTAGAAGATTCTAAGAGGCGGAGTCTCTGAGTTAGTCTAAGAGCTGGTGCTTTATCTAGAAATAGCCCAGTAGATAGAGGGTATACAAGAAAGATGGGCTACATGTAGCACTCATGTATGACGCAGGCGCAAGGTTTCACTTTTTATTTATGATTTACTTCTGGACATATCTAGAGGACAAGCGGTAGATTGAGGTTAGGTTTTATGAAGGTGATGAAGAAGGGTACGTATGTGGGGAAGAAGCATCGAATTATGCAGGTTGGATAGCCCAACCCACCACATAGGACCCTAGGATTTTTTCTTCAATATCCCACTGCTTAACAGTCAGGCAAAATAAAGAGTTTCTGGAAAACTCTATGGACTGTATCTTCTGAGAACAAAGAGATAGAATTGATATGGAATATCAAGCACTAGACCTTTTTTTTTTCTTAGTTTAAATTTTTTGTTTGTTTTGGCAAATGTATAGATCAGAGAAATTACTATTATAATCAATATAAAAAGCATTTTATTAACCATAAAAAGTGTCCTCATAACCCTTTACATTCAGTTCCTCCTCTCCCTCCTACGTAGCTCAAAGTCAAGAGCTGCTCTGATTTCTATCACCATTGCTTAGATTTACCTATTCTTGATCATCACATAAATGGAATCTGGAATCATACAGTAATCACTCTTTTGAATACAGCTTATTTAATTCAACGTAATGTTTTGGAGATTCATTCATATTGTTGAGTCTCAGAAGTTTGAGGAACTTGGGCTTTATAATTTAATTAATTGCCATAAAAATACATGCTTTACAATGCTACTCTTATGTATAAAATAAAAAATATGCAAACCAAAGAGCGCATCATGGATGAAAGTACCTGTTCTTCCAAATTTAAAGTAATTGCTGTTTTAAAAGGCTATTGCATTGCTTCCATCCAATATCCAATACATCATCTTAGAAAAAAATAAAGTTGGAAACATTATTCGGACACATAACACATCAAAAGAATGTAAGCTCCTTGAAGGCAGGGATTTTTGCCTGGAACAGGGCCTGGCACATAGTCGGTACCCAATGGATTTTTGTTAGATAAAAAAAGTCAAGGAAAGAAATTTTCTGATTTCTCTTTTCTGTTTTCAGATTCTCAGCAGTGAGGACTCTAGCAGTAAGCCCTACATTGCTGTGAATATCTTGATTGCTGTGGGTGCTACCATCATGATTCTGAGTTTCCTGGGATACTGTGGTGCCATCAAAGAAAGCCGCTGCATGCTTTTTTTGGTGAGTTCTCCGGACAAATACCAATACTCAACCTTCAGACTTCCGAGGATTATCTCTCATCCTCACCATCTGTCAAAAGGACTTGCCAAGATTAATAGAACTCTAACTTCTGTTTAGAGGGTTTTATTGTGGAAGCAAATGTTTAGCTTAGATTATAGGAAACCCCAAGAGAAGATCGATTTTAGTCTTCGTTTATCTATTATTGCTGAGTACCTGCTATGTGCAAAGATATTAAGACAATTAGAACCGATTAGGGAAGATGGCCCAAGAAGAAAAGAGAGGATTTAGGAGAAAACTTTTGAGTCAGAAGCAGAAGTTAATAAGGTGTCTGTATGGGCGAGGTTATGTTGAGCTTTCCAGGGGAAACATCTCGGCCTTTTGGGGGAACTGCAGGCCTCGGGTACGGCTAAAGAGTCACAGAAGCTATTTTTGGGAGATGTGTCTGAGTGCGGACTGTGGGAAAGTCATATTCCACGCTGAAAAAAAAAATTATAAGGGAGTGAGATAATTGTATCTGTCACTAAAAAAGCTTTAAGAAGGATGGGTTGGGATGGGACAACCCACAGACTTCACTTTTAAATTATACAGTAGAAAATAATAAATGGATATAGAAAAAAATGTTAGAAACTTGTGTCTCTCCTAAAATAAGTATTGTGTGGGTCCTCTGACTCTCTATTACGAGGGAAGGCAGAGAAAGAGTTTTAACAGGACTCTAATAGCATCCATAGTGGTTTCCTTTTTGATTAATAAGCCTCATTTGCAATTTGAGAAATTTCATTAATTGAGGAGGTGGTTTTAAATAATTTGTGGGCTGTCTTCTCCAAAATTATGATTCAATGGATCTGAGGCAGGTTTTATGAATCTACATTTATAACAAAACCCAGGTGATTCTGATAGTGGTAGAAACATTTTTCAGTTAGTTCTGAAATTTGTTTTGAAGTTCGTGTTTGATAAAGAAAGAAGAGAAAGCTAATAGTCAAATAAGTTTATCTAAGTTTTTAAACTTTCCCCAGTTAACATCATATCGATGCCTACAATCCTATGAATAAATTTTGGTTTTAACCACTTTGTATGGTCAATCTTTGGAGCAAATGTTTCTGAGCAGTAACGGTCTCAAAATTTGCTTCTTGAGGCAATGGTGAAATAAATAAAGTGCATAATAACTGCTTTGAACTGTAACATGATTTGGACTGCAGAAAGAAGTGCCATGCTGAAGTGTCTCAAGATGTTACTGAATGCACTGGGAATAATACATATTCCTTTTCTTTTTTTTTTTCAGTTTTTCATAGGCTTGTTTTTGATCCTGTTACTGCAGGTGGCAGCGGGTATCCTAGGGGCTGCTTTCAGATCTGAGGTGTGTACACATATGATATTTGAGAATTTTAGAAAAGTTTGAAAAACCAAAACACTACCTTGTGGCATTAATAATTTAACAATATTTTTTTAATTTTCAGTCTGAGAACATTCTGAATGAGACTCTCTATAAAAACATAGAGCTTTTGAGTGGAACAGATAGTAACGCAAAAGCATTCCAGAAAGCCTTGACTGAATTTCAAGAACAGGTAAATAGAATTTGTGGTCATTTGTGGAGCTGGATGTAGTTCTTCTGTGTTTACTTAATTTTTAACATGTGAGTTCCTTAAAAGTTAAAAAATGTCTCTATTTTGCAGATTTCGAAAGATTGTTCTGTCACCATATAAGAAAAATCCAAGAATATTTTAAAGTTTTTTCTAAAGCAGTTTAGGAGGACAGAAATTAAGAAGATATATGTATGGCAGATTAAGCCTCAATTGGGCCAAATCAATAATTGTTTTAATATTTACTGTTTAGAAGGATAATGTGTTCGGGTCGTTTGGAGAAATTCTCTCTCCCTCACTCTCTCTCTCCCTCATGTCCCCCCTCATAAAAATAACTATAGCTATAATTTATTACTACTTACTATGTACCAGGTTTTACATTTAGTAGCTCACTTAATTCTCATAACTACTCTTTGTGGTGGATAGAATAATTATCCTCAGCATTCCTATTTGACAGATGAAGAGATTAGGGCTTAGAGAGTTCTGACAGTTAACAAGTGATGGAGGTGGACTAGTTAATTCTTTTTAAACAATAATTTAAAAAAATATTCAATTATAGTTGGCATACAATATTATATTAGTTTTAAGTGTACAACATAGTTATTAGACAGTTATATAACTTACCAAGTGATCACCCCGTTAAGTGTAGTATCCAACTGATACCATACATAAGTATTACAGTATTATTGACTATATCCCTTATGCTATACTTTACCCCATGACTATTTTGTAACTATCAATTTGTATTTTTAATCTCTTCCTCTTTTTAACCCACCTCCCAACCCCTTCCCATTTGGCAACCCTCAAAATGTTCTCTGTATCGATGAGTTTATTTTCATTTTATTTTACTCTTTAGATTCCACATGTAAGTGAAATCATATGGCATTTGTCTTTCTCTGTCACTTACTCCATTCAGCACAATACCCTCTAGGTCTATCCATGTTGTTGCAAAAGGCAAGAGTTCATTCTTTAAAAAAATTTTTTTATGGCTAAATAATATTCCATTGTAATATGTACCTCCTCTTCTTCAACCATTCATCCATTGATGGACACCCAGGTTGCTTTCATATCTCGGCTATTGTTGATAATTCTACAATGAGCATATGGATGCACATGTGATATCTTTTTCCATTCCTTTACTTTCAGTCTGTGTTTGTCTTTCGATCTGAAGTGAGTCTCTTATAGACAGCATATGTAAGGGTCTTGTTTTATTATCCATTCAGCCACCTTTTCTTTTGATGAAGCATTTAATTCTTTTTCATTTGAAGTAGCAGTTAATTCTTTGTAATCAGTACACTAACCCCACAATTTGTTAGTTTATTTGTTTGTTTGTTAAGGCTACGTGGCTGTCTTTAGGGCAAAGTCAAAACTTGGGCAGGCATTGAAGGTATTCTACTATCTGGCTCCTACTTAATATTTTAACTTTATAAAACATTGCTCAGTAATGAAAACAATAGTCCAGCCAGGTTTGTCTACTCAGAATTTCTTAAACAATTCTGCCTTCCTGCCTTTGCATCATCTTTGGAATGTACTTACTACTTTTCTCTTTCTTTCCAAATACTACATATGTTTAAGTCCTGACTAAAATATTATTTACTCTGTGAAACTCCTCCCAATCATATCTTTTTTACTCATCATTCCCATCATATTAACTACATGGAACATTCATTTCACATATGTCATAGAAACTCTCAGAGTCTTAGAGGAGAGCTGGATTTTATGGAACATTTAACCTGACTTCTCATTGACTGAAGTATTTTATATCTATGTTCATCCACTCTCTAAATAACTGTTGAAGAGCTAGCTGAAAGTTTACCAATTTTTGCCTATCCCACCTCATCCCATTTATATACATGTCTGATGAGTAGTGTGTTTTTTCTTAATTTGAAACAAAATCTGCCTCCCTAGAATTTAAATCATTTAGTCCTAGTTCTTCCTTTTGCAGTTTTGAGGGAAAAGAAAATCTACTGATGGGTCTATACACTGCAACTTTTTCTTTGAAAATGGCTATCATGTGATTTCTAAGAGTTTTGCTTTTTAAATTTAAATATCCTTTCTTGAGCCACTTATCAGATGACTTTTTTTTTTTTCCAGAGAATCCCCCAGTTTCCATTTGGATAGACTCCATCTTGTAAAAATTCTGCTTAAAGCATCATTTCCAAGAACAAAAACCTGATATGAGTCAGTCCCTGTTTAACTTTCTCTGTGTTGAGCTTTTCCTAGCTCCCCCATAGCTGCATCCCTTGCTCTTCTCCCCTCTGGGTTATTCCCACTCTAAAACTCAGATTAATCCAGGTTTAAAGCAGAAAGAATTTCATCAGTTTAGTTCTTCCATGGGTGAGACTGAGCATCCTTGATTCTCCCTGCTAGCTGACCTAGAACAAAAGGTACTACAGGTACCACTGGGTCTCTGGATTGGGTCCTGAGTCACACTTGCTGCACATTGTTCCTGGTGGCCAAGATCTCAGTGCCACATTGTTAGAAATCATAATGAGGTTCTAAATGTTCTGTTTGTTGTGGCACAAGTCTGAATTGCTTTCATTCTTATAATCTAATTCCATGTCTGAAGCTCCTTGTGTTCATAGAACTATAATTCTTACTTTTCTATCATCTACCAGGGCTTCCTTCCTCCCTTCTCCCTTCCTCTGTCTCTGTCTCTGTCTCTGTCTCTGTCTCTGTCTCTGTCTCTCTCTCTCTCCCCCCACTTCCTTTCTTTTCTTTTTTTTTTTAGTACTCCTTTGGGAAAAAAACCCTACCTCAAACTCTGGCTGGGTGACCTATGGCCCCACCACACATGGACAGAAGTTATAGATACTAAATGGTTTTCTCTTTGGATTTCAGGGAATTCTCACACAAATTCTCTGATAACATCCTAATGGAAGATGCCCCTCTTGGATTCTTGGTGATGACTGTTTGTCTAGAGGTTATTGTCTCATCTCCTGAACAATACCTTGTTCATCTGGCTGTTATAACTCTTTCAGCAAGTCCTGACCGACTTCTTCCCCAACTGCTTTCACATGTGATCTGGTGACCAGATATCATGCTAAGTTTAGCTTTCTTACCCCCTACTCTGTCTTTTGTAAATATGTCTCTATAGCTCCCTAAGGAAGACTGAGGTATATTGTATTCCAAATATGGACTGATCTGTGAGTGCGTATGTTGGGACATATATTCTTTTTGGTCTGGAGTGTTTGTATCAATTAATATTGTTCAAGATTATTTAATCAGAAAGAATTTGCAATGGATCATGTCTACCATGGGAACAGGAAATGTGGTTATTTCAAGATTGCCTTCTTTGCTGATACTGATCGACCTTAGGACCAACTGAAATCTCCAGCTCTTTGTTACACGAGCACCTTCTGAATCATATATTTGTGCAATTAAGTCTTTAAGCCAAAATTAAAGACTTTATAGTTGCTTCAGTTGAACTTGTTAGTTCAAGTCCATTGTTTGAACTATCTTTGAAATGATTCTGTTCTCCAATGTTTTAATCATCACTCTGAGCTCTATATCAGCTACAGACTTGACAAGATTCTTTCCATATCTTTATCTAAATTGATTTCAGTGTTGAACAGATCATGTACTGTGAGAACGTAATAGAAATAACAACCACAAAACAAAAACAACAATAACAGCTAACACATATTGAGTGCTTTCTATAAGCCAGCCACTAGGCTAAGCACTTCATATCTTCACATGGCTTTATTCATTTTTATCTTTACAACCAATTGACGAATTTATACTATTATTAGCAACTATTATTATCTATATTTTACAGATGAAGAAACTGTGACATAGAGAGGTCTGAGTAACATGGACAATGTGGCCACCCATCCAGTGCACTGCATCTTTCAGCATCCTTGCATTGCAATGCATCTGAGCCTGGAAAACTACCCAGTCTTGGTTCCATTTTCTTCAGCAACTTTTTTTTTACCTCTCTGCACAGAGTTTTCTCCATAATAGAGCAAATAGGACAAGATAAAAGATAATTACTTCTCTCTTTTATCTAATAATATGTGCCATATACACTGAGTCATTGGGCTTATCGCTTCCTGGTTTTTCTTTCCCAAACATGACCACAAATTTCCCTAGTGTTTCCCCATGTTTCAGTTTGTTCTGGTCGAAAACAAGAACTTTTCTGACATTATTCTAAGAGTTTTATCTCTTATTTGTAACCCTTTCCCTCTTGTACTGATGTCCATGTAAAATTTAATTTCATAAGAGGCCCACTAAGCTTCTTCTTTGGCCTTTAAGAGGCCTCTCATTCCTTTACTCCTAACCTCCAGAAATGATCAAAGATCATGAGATAGAAATTTCATTTTTTAAAACCTCTCATCTCTTTTGAGAAAAAGTTCTTTAAAGAGATCTTGACTCTCCCATGAACTTTTGGGAGCTTCTTTCTTAAAGTCTAGGATACGTGGATCCGAGTCTGCCTCTCTTTTGTCATTAAAACCTAGAAGTGAGTTTTTCATTTTTTTCCCAAAGTTCCTTAGACTTTTGCATCTGCAATCTATTTTTCTTTCATTAATGTTAAGACCAAAAAGTAAGATACCTTTATTTTTGCTTCTACATTCAGAGACATGAGTGAGGTGACTTACATGATATTTTAGTATAAAAAAATATTAATAATGGTTTCAGAAGAATATGATTCAATGTACTGACAATGTTTTATCTTCTTTAGTGACTGCTTTTTCTATTTTTCATCAAATAGTTTAAATGCTGTGGTTTGGTCAATGGACCTTCTGACTGGGGAAATAATTTTCAATCCCATTCCAAGTCATGCAAATGTCCAGATACATCAGAGTCTTCTTGTATACAGTATGAAGGAAATTATGTTTACAAAGAGGTAAGAACAAATTTGGCACAGTAAGTGGTTCTGTTAATTTTTTTTCACTATGCAAGTCTTTACAAAAAACTTAAATTGCAATTATAATGGGAATTATGATATAAAATTCCTAAGGATTTCTCAAATAAAAAAGAAATCCTTATTAAAAGATAAAAGCAGATATAAAAAGGTGAAAGTATTTCATTTCTTCTATGAGTCTAGCATCATTTAGATTCAGGTCTAATAGATCAAAGTAACATTCTACTGCAAGTGGAGGCAAAGTACAAACTAACACAGAAAAGTTTATTTTGTCTTCTCTTTAGTGACTTTAATCATTATTTTCTATTTTTTAATTTTTAACTTAAGTTCTAGAAAACTATATTTTCACTTTAATTTTAGAAGTAAACTTTCTTTTTCTAATCAAATGTTCCTTTTCTCAAGTAATTATATAGGTATAAGAAAAGGATTTGGCCTTGAGGGCTTTCAGTTTTGGATGTTAAGCATACTTACTTATTTGTCTAATTACTGCTCCAATTTAAAAATTGCCTCAGACATGTAAAGTCAATTGAAAAAGCTGGGTTTATCTTTTATCTATTGATGTCATATTTATGTCACTTGTGGATGTCAATATGTGAATGTCATATTTCTTATTATTGCTTAATTTATCAAATATTTATAGACCACCTCCTGTGTGCCAGGCCTTCTACCAGCTTCTGGAGATCCTTTCCTTAACAGAGCACAGTGTCTGCACTCATGGAGCTGATGCTTAAAGAGGGAAGAGAGAAAGATTATTAGACAATTCAATCCAATGAACTATTGCTATTTCTTGGATTGGAGCAGAAGCGAGATGTTAAAGGGCCCCATCTAACTCAGTCTTTGGGGGTCATAGTATGGCTTCCTAGAGAGCATGATATCTGTCTCTTATCACAGGCCTTTATAGAATTTGTCCTTTCTTCCTGAAAGGAATGTGTACAAAAATGACAATCGATATTAATGTATCATTTATTTGCTGTTATTCTTCAGTGCCTAGTATGTGTTAGATAGACCCTTGCTAGAATCAGACATTTTTTTGGATCCTCTAGGAGATTGTAGCCTATTGGGAGAGAGATACATAACAGCTACTATAATTCAATGAACTAATTTATGTAATACCAGAAGATTATTTTCAATCTAATTGGCTTAGTAATGGCTACAGAGGGTAATTATATATTGGGAAATAGGAAGTATCTCAGGAAAAACTTCTCTCCTACTATCACATCTCTTTTACAATAGTGTCAAAATTAAGGAGACTCTTCTTAAGGAAAATTACTATTATTATATTTAAACTAACACATGGGGGAGAAGTTATCTATCAGACCACATGTCTTTTCAGAGTCCAAGTAATATCAGTAAAACAATTTTATTCTTACTTTTTATATTCCTCCCCCTTCCCTCCCCCTGACCACCAATTTTTAGTGACATAATATCCACACAAAAGAGGGAAATGAATATGGTATAAACAAATGTAGCTTCCACTTAGAATAATGAGGAAATTAGTAAATTCAATTGCCGATTGTTATCTATCTCCCATTAAAGATTTAAGTCAAAGATGTTTTTCCTCGGGATAGGTTTTGAAAAACCCTAGCATTATCCTTAAAAATAATGGACATTCTCTCCAAAGTCATACATAATTCAGCTGAATATAGGCTGATAGCTCCACTAGTTTCCCAAAAGGAAGGACATAAATTCATAAAATACTTCCATCTGCTTTGTATCATTGTAAGAAGTCTGGAAAAATAAGAAATCTGAAATGGCCATAATTTGTTTCTTCCCCTCACCTCTTTCCTTTGCCAAGATAACCTGGTCATCTAGAGGGGAAAGGGGGAGAAAACTCAACTATAACAAATGTGACTCAGTAGATATGATCATTAATTTCCCGGTTAATCCTAAATGACATAATAATTCCTTCTAATGTTTACCACTTTGGATCATATGAGGCTCATTGCATTCAGGAATAAAGAGAAAAAGACTGTCTTACTCAGCCTTATGGAGAACTTTTATTTATTTTTTAATTTTATTTAACAAATATTTTGTTAGCCCTTCGCACATATAAGACTATCATAGGGATGATATATTTTCTGACAATACAGATAATAGCATTACTGCAGTGTGTAGTATTTTGCATTTTAAAAATTATTCATATAGTTAACAATTTTTGGAATTTTTAGGTCTGGTCTGAGATGTTTTAAGTTTGGAATTGCATGCTGGTTTGAATAAATTTCAAAAACTGTGGCAAAGAGGCAACTTTTAAAATTCTCTTTTTTATCAAAAGTAAGAACATAATAGTGGACATAATAATTTTTTTCTTTTTAAGGTAAAAATAAACCTAATAATTATTAGTAAGAAATTTTTTAAAAACCTTCTTTTAAAAATGAAAATTTGTGCTATTATTAGCTGAAACCCCAACCAGGGAACTCTCTGCTGCAGATTACAGACCTAAAAAATACACGGTCAAGGTGATAACAGCTGTAAAATGAATAATTTTAAGTTAGGATAAAATTATTATTTATAAATAAAGACCTCTAGATTTAATAATGATGAAGTTGAAGCAAAATTTTGCCCCTCAAATGCTTTTTAATGTATGAAAAATCACAATTATAAACTTTTGAAGGGGGGAGGAATGTGAAGTGGAGAAAATAATCCAATTTCTTTTTCTTCCTTTTATTTTTTTATTTTTAATTTCATAAATACATTTTTTTTAAAAAATTAAGTTTATTGGGATAACATTGGTTAATACAATTATATAATTTTCAGGTGTACATTATAATTTGACATCTGTATACTCTATTGTGTGTGTTACCACCCGAAGTACAGTTTTTTTCAGCTATCATGTATTTGATCCCCTTTACTCACTTCACTCTCCCTCTACTCCCCTATATTTGACCTCCTTTACCCTGTCTACCACCCCCTCCTCCCCCATCCCCTACCCTCTGGTAGTCCAATTTCTTTTTGTTGAGTATGTTTCTTGGTTACAGTGTAAAAAGTAAACCTAATTGGGGGAAAAATCTTAATTCTAATAAGATCATCGAAATATTATTAAAGCTAATTTTTTATGTTTTTTTTTTTAACAGCCATGCATTTCTTTCATAAAAAACTTAGTTAAAACACACATTCTCATAACAATTGGAATAGCATTTGGACTGGCATTTATTGAGGTACAGTATAATTTTTCATTATTAACTCTTTATTCATTCCATGTTTGTTCATTAATTCTTCTAACAAATATTTATGGTGAGCCAAATAAAAATGAGGTGCTTCAGAAAAGCACTGGGTACCAAATGTCCAAGAGCCAGCATCTCCATCTATCAGCCTTGGGTCTGGGGAGGGGATTATAGTCTTATGAATTGAACAGGGCTAAGTCTATTATTTCTGAGTGATCTCTCTACTGGGAAATAAAAAGTGAATTAATTTCCACATAGTTCTTAGTCCCAAATATCTTTTTCCCATTGAAAATCATTACAAGAGTTAAAGTTTCCTGAAGTTAGAAGAAAAAACACCAAATAAATCCAAAACACAACCTTTACATTTTCTCATCTCTCTTCCTGATTTTGAAACACAAAATAAAAAACCAAACTCAAGGGTGTGGGGAGCTATTTTCCTGCTATTTAATTCCAGAGAAATCTGACAAGTTCTAAAAACTCCAGAGAGTTGCCTTTGATTTTCTCAGTGTAAGGGCGATGGACTCATTTGGAGAAGTTTTTAAAGAAGCTCTGCTTGAGGTGTATGTATTTACTCTTATCAATTTCATTATTAATATTGGAAAATATCCTGTATATAGTTTTTATCTTGATGAGCTTTTTCGCCCTAAGAACCTGAAGAATACCTTTTACGTGGCCTAAAACTCTTTGCCAGAAAGATGAAATAAAATTGTTTCAGAGAAACATTTTTGGAATCATCCTAGATCTTGATTAATTTAGATACCAAGTGAATCAAATTCACTCACAATCCTGCTCAGGGCATTGACAGGAATCCTAACAATGTGTGAGGTGTCTTGGTTAGTGCCTCGGAGAGCTGGTTAGCTAGGCTGAGTGACTGTTGCTTTATGCTCGTGGAATGTTGTACACATCTTCCTTGGGATTGCTAGTAGCTTCCTACCTCTTACTCATATGCCACATCACTGCCAGAGAGGAATTTTAGCTGGGATTGAAACAATTTAATGTGTTCTAAGTGGTCGTTTAGGTTACTGGTGGAATGTCCCAGCCAACCATTAGAGAAAGGATAGGGGACAATTAATTAGCAGTAAATTTGGGATGTTGAGTATTACTTCCCAGTAGCCCAGACGAATAGGTCTAAATGTGAGACATTCTCTGCTGGAAACATGGCTGTCTTTCTTAATGTCTGATATGTGATCAAAGTTAAGTGGTGCTGTGTATTAAGCCTATTTCTCTAGATGCTGCCTTTTCTGAATTCAGTCCTTTATTTCTCCGCTTTGTATTCTGGGTTAATGCTAATTGAGAAATATGAGCTAGTGGCCATAGAGGTGAGCAAAGAATCACACACATATATACTCATACATTTATAAACATAAATCACACACACATATATGTTGCTAGAGTAGACTTTAAATGGATGATGGAAAGAGCGGACTTTAAATGAGGTATTCAAGTAGGTATCAATATAAGTGTCAAATTCCATGTTAGGTGCAAATTGACTATGACTGGCTACAACCCATGGATGCTTTTAAGAAGCTTCTCAAAACCAAAACCAGAGAAAATAAGGACATAATCACCTGGGGAGATTGACGTCTCTCATTATCATAGCCAAAGGCGTTGCCAAAAATCTTAATGCATCTAATGGAAAATAAGATTACAAGAGGAATAGCACTTCAATATTCTATGAAATTGGTATATTCCATGAGTTTGTTGCATATTTCGATATTTAATTGGTTGTTCTAAAGATATGGTTAGGGAAATACTTTAATAAAAACCTTTTTTTATAGGTGTGGAATTTATATATGTTATTATCATAAAATATAACATTTTTAGTTATGCCAGTTAAGTGTGATTTCTAGGCTGCCTATATGTAGATATGATAGTCTGTTTATAGAACTATTTGAAATTTTTTATGTTCAATCTCTCAATCTAAAACCTCTAGATTTGAAGAGAAAGAAATCATTTTATATTACCTCTCTTTTTATTCAAAAAAGAGGTTTGAAAATAGTCTTCTGATACCCAATCTATAAAAATGTATCCAAAAAAATATACATTAGTCTGTCTTATAGTCATTGATACTAGTTGCCTAATACTTAGACCTGTTTTCATACTGTTTCCCAAGTTCAACTTCAAGAAATACAAGACCCATAGAGAGAAAAATTCCTCTAAAAAATATTTTTAAGAAGAAAACAGGGGCAAATATCCCTCTGAAGAAAACATATTCGAATTATCTCCATAAAAAATCACATAAAAAAATTACCCTTCAACATTTAGACCTTTGCTGTTAATCTGTTTAGGCATGGGCTCTGAGGGAGGGGCCAGTAGTTACTTTTAAGGCTCTGTTAAGACCACATACCTGAGGGATGCTTCTTAGAGAGCATTAGGAATCTATGCAAAATGTTTCATTTTGTAAGAAAATTCTCCCTATAGATAGTTTTGGAATTCTCATTATTCCTAATTAAATAACCAGACCATCACATCTCTCCTTATTTGACCATAGCAACTTACAAGCACAAAAAATGGTCAGCATGTTCTCTTCTCATTTCAAATGAGGGGGGAAAAAAAAAAAGCCACTGACACTGATAGTCATCACTTTGTAGGATAAAAGTCATCCTGACAGGACATCCCAATAATAGCACAGTCCGAACTGTGAGAAAAGGATAATTTTACAACATTTTTTAGATTGCTCCAGAATATGGGAACTCGTGTACACTCATAGCAAGTTTATCCTGACTCTTCATACCATGAATCTTTTAATTACTTGTTATTTTTATGAACAATGATACATTTTCATTTCAGGGGCAGTGAGGTGCAAGAAAGTATGAGATTAACTGTCTGGTCTGCTGATGAATGGTGGCTTCTGTTTCAAGGATGTGACAGTGAAATATGACAGTTGCCTTGTCCTAGTATTTTGTGCATTTTCTTTATTCTTTCCTGATACTTGTCTCCCAGAGTTGAGGCTTGGGACCAGGTGAAAAGACTAAATTTCAAAGCTTTTTAAAGTGATTGTAAAAGAATGACTTTGAGAATATTCTGAATGAAAATCATTATTTTTGTAGAGAATTGGTACCTTTTTTTTTTTTTAAGAAGACAGAAATATTATTTAGTAGTTCTCATTTGAAATGTATTTGAAGGAAAGAATTATTAAACAGAAAGTCTCAGTAAGGTAGGAGCACTTGAGGTGACTCAGCATAAATGGCAGCTCCTCCTCCTGCCTCCCCTCAAAGTGGGCTGGTGGGGAGGGAACTTTCTATCTGTCATGCACACCGGTCCTTCTGTCGTTTCTACATCAAAGCCACAGCATGCAAGTCACTAACTGCAGAGCCATTTAGGGCAAGTTTTGGGGTCCCTCATTCTTGGGAGAGCTACTTAATGAGACAGAAATTATGGCCCAGATCCTCAGCTGTGCTTTTTCACTGCAAAGGAAATTCCTAAATTAAGCTATTCTCCATAGATTTGGAAGATTTTTTTAAAGAAAAAAGTTACTTTAACAATATGGCAAGACTCCTTGATTTTTATGCAGATGTTCTAAACCAGATGATCATAACCATTTATGGAAGCAGTAGGTGTATTGAGCATCCAGAGGCCTGAGTTCGTTGAGCTTCAGGGCAGACATCCTACAGAAGGGTGTGTGTGTTCGAGAAGGGCAGGGTGCTCTGGTGGTGGCTGCTACTGCGTAATCCAATAGGGCAGGTTAGAGGTGGATTGGCTCGCCGAAAACCCTGATTTAAAAAAAAAACTACTTGAGAACTTTCTCAATTCTCTTTTGTCCCATTGGAGTCTCTAATTTCCCAAGAAGAGAGAAAACTTAGATAAATAAAATTAAAACTTTCAGTAGCCAGGACATTTTCATATATAATGTTCTTTCTGTCTGTTTATAACATCTCTAGCATTTTCCTTTAAATTCCATGTTAATCCTGTTATTTTATTTTCTAGATACTCGGTCTGATATTTTCTATGGTCCTGTTTTGCCAGATTGGAAGCAAATGAATCTGTGGATGTGTTGAGCTACCATCAATCAAACGCCTTTAAAATTTTGCTTTAGCTTTGTAACTTCAAATATGTTACTGCTGTATATGTTAGGGGCAGCTGTCCTATTAAGATTTCTCATTTAGCTAGACCATAGATATCTTCTAGGCATATTGAGCATATTTAAGATTTTAGTAATACTAGGAAAATGATATGAATGTACATTTTTACTCAAAATAAAAGTAACATTCTTTACGTTGGTGCTTTTTCCTGTCTGATCATTGTGTTCAGGTGATACTGTCCTTTAAAACATTCATCTGAAGCCACCCTGTGGAATGATCTTCATCTCTGAGTGACAGGGACATAGTTTAGGCAGTGCATCTAGGCTTTTCAGAAGCCACACTCTGTTTTGGGTGGTGTATCAACCATTCATGATAAGATTGAATTAAGTCTCAAGCTGAAAGATTGAGAAAGTGGTCCAGCTAAAGGACTCATTATCTCTTTTCTATTTATGTTAATGTCTATTAATGGTGCCTCTCTTTTCTCTCTACCTTTTATGGGGACAAGAAAATTTGAGTGCTGTCTTTCCAGCCATTGAATCTCTGATACCTCTCCGGACCTCCCTCTGGGTCATAGTTATAACTGCTTTTACCTTTTGAGTTCTCATAGACATTTTTACATTTTACTTTTTATTGAGGTATAATACATACAATAAAGTGAACAAATTTAAGTTTACACCTGTGTTAACACTATCCAGCTGAAGATACAAGACATTTTCAGCACACCAGAATGACCGTACATGCAACCTCCCAGTGGCACGCTAGAGCTGGCTCCCACTGATGTACCAGAGCAGACCATATACATATATACATCTCTTTCCAACTCTGCTCAGTGACATCACATTGGTAGCTTGAAATCCACCGTGGTGGGAGAATTTACACCGTGGAATTTACACCGTGGAAATTGGAAAATGATATAAAATAAGGGATTTTGTTTTTTGAGAGCTGGTTTTTAAACATTTACCAGAATGCCACCGCCCTCTTCAACAAATGCCTCCCCAGAGGTAGTCACTCTTCTGAATTCTATGACCATAGGTTCATTTTGCTTATTCTTGAACTTTCTGTAAATGGAATAATAAAATATGCTCTCTGGCTTCTTTTTCCTCAACATTTTGTGAGATTTATCTAAATTGTCGCATACAACTGCTGTTTATTCTCATTGCTATGTAGTATTCCCTTGCGTATAAATGTATGTCACAATGTATTTCTCCATCTTCCTGAACATTGGATTTGCTTCCAGTTGGTGTTATTATGAATAAAGCTGCTATAAACATTTTTTTACTTCTTTTAGTATGCACATATACTCGTTTCTGGGTAGATATGCAAAAGTGGGATTGCTGTGTGTGTGTGTGTGTGTGTGTGTGTGTGTGTAAATAGATTTGGTCAAAAAATAGATTCTCAAAAGTGTGTGTACTAATCTATACAATACTAGAAAATCAGGATGGACTCGATCTCCTCTTCTGAGGAGGACAAAGAGGAAGAAAGGCAGTCTTTGTCCAGTACATCAGAGTGACCAGCAAGGAGTGAAAAACCTGGGGGAGGAGAGTCCTGGGCTGCGTTAGACAACCTGAGTCTCTGCTCCCCTATTGATGATGAAGATGACTGTCCATATCTCAGCACATGTCACCTCCCAGAAAGTATACCAGAAACTGTACTTTTAATATCTTGTTTCTTCTCACCACATCCTTATGAGGTGGATACTATTATTATCCTCATTTTGCAGATGGGAAAATGGAGGCTTAGAGCTCTAAGTTAGATTACTTGCCCAGAGTCAAACCATTAGTAATTGACAAAACGGATTCAAACTTTGACACTTGCCTCCCAAACCCTGGCTGTGGATCATGCTCCATTTGGTTTTGCCCATAATAGATCTATAAATAAATTTGCCATATTTTATTATAATTTCCTGTTTATGTGTTGCCTCTGTTAGTATACTGCAACTCTCTGAAGACATTGATTATTTCTTATTTGTCTTTTTGTACCCAGTACTTATTGCAGTGCTTGGCACGTAATAGGCACTCAATAGATTGTAGCTAAAAATATACTTAGATTTATTGAGAACTTACTGTATATCTAAAAATATTCTAAGCACTTTGCATAGAGTAACTCATTTAATCTAGAACAACCTACTTAGGTTTGTACTATAATTAGACCAAATTTACCGATGAGGAAACCAAGGGCCAATGAGGTTAACTAACTTCTTAGGTCATGTAGCTGGAGGAGTCATGATTTTCTAAGTGACTCAAAACCTGTTCCCCTTATGTCATATCATCTTGCCTTAACTTACATTGTGGTTGGGAGAAATAGATAAAGTGAATATGGAAGTGCCTTTGCATAGTTTCAGGTACACATTAGGACATTTTATAGTAAATATTTTATGGTATCAATGATGGAAATATAATACAGGGAATTGCTGTATTAGTTTGTGTTGCTGTAACAAAATATCATAGTCTGGGTGTCTTAAACAACAGAAGTTAATTTTCTCATAGTTCTGGAGGCTGAAAGTCCAGGGTCAGGGTGCCAGTAGATTCAGTTCCTGGTGAGAGCCCTCTTCCTAGCTTGGAGATGGATCACCTTCTTGTGTGTCCTCACATGGTGGAGGGACAACAAATGAGCTCTCCGGTAACTCATTTCATAAAAACACTAATCCTGTTGAATCAGGGCTCTACCCTTATGATCTCATTTAATCTTAATTACTTCTTTACTCCACATACAGCCTCCCTGGGGGCTAAGGCACAAACATGGGTGGATAGTTGGGGTGTAGCTTGGAGGTCACAAGTCAGTCCATAGCAACTGCTTACACAGCTGATGAAAGACGTAAGAAGCCAAATGGGATGGCAGGGTACACCAGAAATTAGCAGCAGTAGGAAGTTGCTTCCACTCTAAGACTTGAGGGACAAAGAAAATTTACTAGAGCCCAAGATCCAGGGCTATCTGGTAGAAGAAGGAACCTTGACAGGGACCACAGAGGGAGGATTGTCTAGCAAGAGTAGAAGCCATGACTCAATGGCTACTGTCAGAACAGAGAAAGGGAGAAGTGCCCTGGCTTTTTTCTCCTTGCCCACTCCAATCTTTTGCCAGTATGTCCCATTGGCTGAACTCACCTAGAAGCCAGAAAACAAGGGAACCTGGGCAATACAGTCTCTCTGATACAAAGCAAAGCTGAGAATGGCAAGGACTGGACTGGGCGCACTGGTAAGACTGTTGCAGCGGTTGGAGATTTAGCGAGCAAGCACGCAGGTGCTGAACTTTCTGATTAAAGGGTATAAAAATGGTAGAAAGTATAACAGATTTAATATTTTTATGGAAAAGGGTACAAAGTTTCTTGGATTCTTTCTGTTTTGACAAAAGTTCAAAGCATTTTAGGGATAGAGAGGAATTTTTAGAGGATAGAGAGGAATTTTCAGGGGATATTTGGCAATATCTGGAGACATCTTTGGTTGTCACAACTGGGATGGAAGGGGAATGTTACTGGCCTTTAGTGGGTAGAGGTCAGAGATGCTGCTAAACATCCTGCAACGCACAAGAATGTGCCCACGAAGCTAAGAATTATATGGTCCAAAATGCCTTTAGTGCTGTGTTTGAGAAATCCTGCTTTAGAGAATCACGTCTGAATAATAAAATATCCTCTTCCCAGGGGACAGGAAGGTGCACGTTACCATGGAAAGTGAACTGGACTGGAGTTAGGAATCATCTCAGACCAGGCACCAACAACTGATGGCTTTGTGACCTTTGCAAGTCACTTAGTTTGAAGTTTCCTCAACTGCAAATGAGAAATTTTATCTAGAAAAAGATATTTGCTTGTGATAGTTCACTGATGTTTTAATTTTGATCTTTGGTACCGAAGGTGATTATGAGAGAAGCTTTTACTCTCTTGAAGGATATTAAAATCAGATTTAAGAATAAGCTCATATTTTACCTTTATATTTCCCAGACCAAACCACAATATTAAAAAACATTAAATTTAATTAAATCACTTAAGAATCATAGCAAAAACAAAATAAAAATAACTCTCATCAGATTGACAGCTCGATGTAGATGGAAATGTTTCTTCCAATTATGAGAAATGTAGGAATTATCATTATGTTAAAGACTGTACAATTGCACTAATTTATATATATATAATACATATTAAATTTTCACAAATGCTTCTCAGATCTATCCATTTTTTACTTCCCTGAGGCTACCATCCTATCTGATCTTTCACAATCCTCCTGAGGTAGAAACAGCTAATAGTCTACTCAATATCCTTTCTTTCTTATCTGGCTTACTGATATATCCCTGATTTTGTTGGAGTATAATGAGCCCAACTAAAATGTTTTAGTTCCCACTACCTTCTGTAGTGACGGTCCTCTTTAAACACACCTAGCAGACACACAGAGAAGACACGTCATTAGTGAGTGTACCTCGTTCTTCACAGCAGCAGGTTGATCACATTTAAAATTAATCTTACAATAACATAAGAGCATCTTTTAGGTGACTATATTTATTGGGTCCCACATTGAGCATTAAAGTAGAATTTTATCATATTTGATAAAAGAGACACTCTCTGATACCTGTAATCTAAATTGGCCAAAAGTAATATGATTTAAACTGTGCACAGTTGAAAAAAATCTAACTTCTTTATACCCTACACTGGAAAAGACACTGAGATGGCTGTCGTGGGTGATAATACAAACCTTCCCCAGGCATCTTCCTTTAAGAGTTCTGCACTAGACCAGCACAGTGAGCCTCTGGCAAAGGTGGAATGTTATTTCAAATCGCCTCTAGGTCTGTTTCTGGACTCTTGTTTTGTTCTATCCTTGAACCAGTACCATTGTGTTGAACATTTTAAGGCTTGATATAAAATAAGATATGCTCTCTCACTTTGTTGTTCAGTGCTGCCGTTATTCTTTGTTCTTTCTTTTCTGTAGAAATTTTAGAATTTGCTTGACAATATACACACATACACACACACATTGCTAGTAGAATTTTCATTGAGATTGCTTTGAATTGATAGCTTACATCTCCATCCATTGTATAGCTATTCATTTATTTATTCTCCTTAATTTCTCTTAATGTTTTAGAATTTTCCTGCTAGAAATCTTTTAATTGTTTAGATTGATAAGTTTAGTGAAGTTGCTGGATTTGTGGTCATCACGTGCAAAATTGTTTTTCTATATAGCAATTACAAATTGAAATTCCCCCCAAAAAAAGATTTATCAAAGAATTATGAAATGTCAAATACCTAGTAATAAATTTCATGAATAATTGCAAGAGTTCTAACATAAAACTCATAAAACATTCTTAAGAAAATTAATGTATATAGAAATATTTTTTGTGTGTTCATCTTGAATCCAGTAACCTTGCTAAACTTAGTAATTAGTTTTAACAATTTTCTTGTAGATTATATTGTGTAAGGATTTTCTATGTATACCACTGTGTATATCGTTGGCTAACAACATAATTTTATTTCTTCCTTTCCAATACTTATACATTTTTATTTCTCTTTCTTTATATGAATAGAAGTGATATCTTCCATAGGTGTACAATGTAGATATATAGGTAATTATTTTACAAATTCTAGAATTAGGGTATATGATAGTTTCATCAACAACCAAAATTACACTAAGATTCAGCACAGGACTAAGGGCATATCTAAAGTAAAAGCCATTTTGAGTAACATTATTGATTAGATGGTTCATAAATGTGGAAGAACAAAGAGATTTGGAGGAAGGACTTGGATAGAGTGAAATAGGAACTAACGGCATTGGAGTAATGGCAAGGGCCAGCTCTCCAAACATACATTTTTCTCCCGAGGAAAATGATAATGGGCATTGGACTGGAGAGAAACAGATGTCCCTAAACACATTTATATTTTATATTAGCAAAATCCACATTTCTCATTATGTGAGCATTCAGCCACTTGGAAAGCAGTTTGAATAAGAATGTGACCTTTGGAATAATAATAAAAAAAAAAATCTGGGTTTAAATTTCAACTCCATTATTGTGTAAACACAGGCAAATTACTAATCTCTTTGAAGATCAGTTCCTCACCTGTAAATTAAGGATAATGAGTCATACTTATTAGAATCATTATAAAGATGAAATGAGATAACGTATGTATGTTATTGGTTATATAGAAATGTACAATAAATGTCAGTTTTCTGCCCCTTTTTGTTTTGAATTTTTTTTATCTTGCATTGCTGTGTAATATTTTTGACATTAAACTATATTCTTTTATCTTGGTCTTTCTCTCTTTCCTGTCTCACCCACCCTTTAACTTCCACACTGTTC